CAACAGAAAGAATCTAAGCTAAAGGAGCTTATCTGTACCATTAAGATTAGCTAAAAGGCAAATTATGATCAGTGAAAACGTGTGAATTTTAACTCCTTCGGAAAACTTTGTTACCTGCATATAGTGCAACAGGTCACTGAAAAGTACATGATTTTTAACCTATTTAAAAATTACTTGTGTATTGTGTGACCCCACCATATTTGTGTAAAAAAATGATCATAAAATGAAATTGCACTATACTATATCTTCAGTATCTTTCAAACTTTTTAAGCATTCATATTTGATAATTTTGCAATATGGACTCTGAATTTGAAATCTAGTTTTGTTTTCTATGCATCTATTCTTCATCAAATGAATTGTGTGCTAAGAATGTCCAGTAAGGGGCATAAAAATAGTTGGTAATATTGAATAACCACTGCAAAATATCAAGGTTTTCAAAAGAAATACAGATAGTTTTATTCAGATTAGAACACATGAAAAAGACAAGTGAAAACAATAAATGAAAGATTGATTTCAAATGCAGCATTGAAGACATTCAACCAGGAAAAGAAGAAATTTTCACTTTTTAAAAATAATTTCTTTGATCTGTACCATGAATTTGCCTTATATTTTCTCATATGCAACTAACTATAACAAAACATTGTAAATTTTAGATCTATTTTGATACATTCATTTTACATGAAGAAAAAAATGACATTAATCAAAACCATTTTACCAGAATGTTATCAAATATCAAATCAGATTAAAATTTAAAGAGTCTGAGAATGAATGATTTTGAGGTTTGCTTCAAATCTGAAAGCAATCATCAAAATGACTTATTCTATAAGACAAAATTTTAATCTTGAATCACACAATTTCATGTGAAAAAGTATTTTACAAACATCATTTACTCAGAGAATAGACAAAAATATCCTGTATACTTACCTGTACAAATTATGAACAAAATTTTATACACTTTACATAGTCTGTCAAATTGAGGCATAGAATGAAGCACAAAATGATTTGCAACAGCTAAGGAAAAATTCTTCAAATATAAACTAGTTTTATTTGGCTCTTGTCCATCCTTCATATGAAGGATAGACAAGTTTCCATTTCCTTTGACCCCTATCTCAATAAGGCTAAAATGGAAGGGATTAAAAAAAATAGTGCAGTACTGAAAGAGTTTGAAGGCACAAGCAATTTGTTTATGATATTTCAAAAATAAAGGTCAGTATTGCAATGATTGCAAGTTCAGTCCTCACCAGGGGCTCCATAAAAATTGGCATATCCAACTAATGCATACAAATTTATTTGTAAGAGAGAAGAACTCTACTATCTTTGTTTTCAAGTAGTAGAAGCCAAATGGTATTAAACGAGGCAGATGGTGTATCTATAGAAACTTTCACTCTACTAGTAACTAATATTGAATAGTACAGAGGTACTTAATGTTATGAACAAAATAAAAGCTAAGTCAGTCAATGTAACATTAATGTGAATGTTGAATGAAAAATTATATAATCAAACTTTTATAAGAACAATGAAGGAAGAAATGATTCTCTTTCTTGAAATGTATTTTTTAATGAAATTTAATTCAATGAAATGATATCAGAGCCACTACAAAAGATTCATATAGCAATTTTTTCAATTGTATTTCTGATTGAATGACAAATTTTGGTTTTGAATTTCATCAATGTTTTCTTATTCTTTCATATTCAGTAACACCTTGCATCATAGTGGCTTTATTTTCTTACTTAGGGTGAAATGATTTAAAAAAAAAAAAAGAAAAAAAGAAAGGAATTATAAAGTGAAATTCTATTGGATCTTTAGAATATGATAGAAATGTTAGCCAAGATGAAAGAAATTAATAAGGGAATTATGAAAACAGAGAAATGGTGTTAAATCTTTAAAGAGTAAAGAAAACACAAACAAGATTCTAAAAAAATTAAATTTACACTCTAAAATTTTATTGACGGAGCCAGAGTCCAGAGATATCAATTCCAGGCTAAAATAGATACAAATTTCACTATATATGCTTTTCTTTCTAATGAGTATTTATAATGGAATCTGAAGAATAAAATGCTGTATCATTTCTGCTACAAGTATATAGTGGTATATATTCCTAAAAAAAGCAAGGTACACACTTCTGTACAAAATTTAAAATATCTTTATTAAGTTAAACACATTATTTATTCCAACTGTATCATACAATACTTTGTGGTATGGGATTTATGAATTTATACCTACTGTAAAGAAACCTTGAAACTTGCAAACAGACATTTGGCTTTGAAAATCTGTACCTCTGATATATAAAATTCAATTTGCAATAATCTTTTTTCACATTAAAAAAAAAAAATGACACTACTAGAGAAAATATAAAATAAATTGGGAAGTCAGTAGCAGCTGTTGCTGAATTGGTTAAAGCCAATTTTTTGCAACAAAGTTACTAATTGTTGTGTTTGTAAGTCAAGAAGAATTCAGTTGAATTATGTTTAAAAAGTTAAGGTATTTTATGTTAATATTTATTAATACATTAATAAAAATTATTTATTTTTATCTGAGATCCTAACAGTTTAATTTGCTTACCCAAACATACTTTTCAGTAGACATCACAGTAAGGCACAGCCAAAATCAAATCATAACAAATATTTGGGAAAAAAAACATACACAAATTGATCACAAACATGTTCAGTTTTTAGTAACTATTTTATTACAAAAAATAATTAGATTCACATCTTTTGATTTGTTTCCTCCATTTACAAAATCATAGTAGAAAATAAATTGGTGGCTTGCATTTTAGTCTTTTCTCTGATGCAATTAAAATGAATATTATGACTGTCACATTACATAAAGAAAAAAAGATTAATGAGATGTTGAGAATCAACTTTTCTTTCTTTTTTACAATTATTCAATTTTCTGTTGAGAATTATGGGACTTTCTAGCATAAATTATTATAACTATTATTTCAAAAAATTTAGTTGGTCGGACAATTGTATCTAAATTTCTAACCCAAACTAACAAATTGGTTATATGCAAAATGAAAAAGTCTTTACTTATCTCTTAAAAGGTCTTCCGTAAAAAATATTTGAATTACAAAAGCACTTGAACAGAAAATAATGTTCATGATAGTAATTAAAAAAAATATTAATGATTAAAATTTTCTGCTAAGAAATACTTTGAAAATTATGAAGATATTTAAAATTATATTGTAATGGTCAATGTCATTGCCAATCCCTGCCAATAAGGATTTTTTTATTTGGAAATATTGGTTATCACAAATTAGTAAATGCTCATTAATATATCCAGATTTGAAACAAGCAAAATCTAATCAATTTTCCTGGCTATTTTTCTAATTACATTACATGACTGTGTTATAACAAATATAAATAATCAAAACAAAAGTTGATTAAAACAATCCAAAAAGTTGTCACAAATTTCTCATTATTATTTCAGGATGATAAAGTTTCATCATCAAAGGAGACAATTATTTAATTTTTATAATAATGAAAAGAATAAACAAGAATTTTCACAATTTCAACCTTAAGAATTATAAGAATCAAATTTATAAAATTGATAGTGAAGGCAAAACTGTTCCACAGGGTTCATTGTGAAAAAGTGAATTTGATAGAAAAATGTCCAAATAATGTGGGCAACTTCAATACAGAATCATTACAGCCATTTAAGTTTATTCAAAAAAGATTATTCAAAAGGCAAAGGAAGGAACTCAATTTTTTCAAAATATTTCTATATAAAAACTATCAACATACTGAATGATTAGGTTACATGGAAATTTAAAGAAATTGAAGATTACTGAAATTTATCTGGTTTTTTAAATGTGATCTAATAGAGATTTTTATTCAAAGCAAGGATTTGATATCTTGTACCAGAAAGAATTCCCAACAAACAAATGAAAACAAAAAATAAACTTTGAATTAAAGAGAAAAAAAGAATCAGTAAAATCACATTATTTTTCAAATTTTCTGAGAAGGATCTTCCATGGTTTTGCATTTTTTCTTTTTTTTTTTCACTGAGAATTGCATACAAATCACCAATAAGAATATCTAACATGATTACCTGAAAGAAACATTGAGTGGCCAAACAGGGAGTCAAAAAATTGAAGCAAACTTTTCCCTTTATGGCCACAGTATATTTATCATAAGGTCACATAGGTGTACACACTGGTTTTGCATAAAAAATGTGCTCAAAAATTTTATTGGAATAATTGAAAAAAGAAAAGGAAAAGAAATTAATTGCATATGATCATGTGTGGAGAAGATCGAATTCATTTTAGCTGAACGAGAAGCAGAAGTTCCACAAATCAGTTTTGTGCACTAGTGACAAATCATTTGGGAATAAGGGGCATTGAAATGAGTTCGAGGTTTACATATAAATGTTTACTGTTTATATAACACAGCTAATGAAATGTATATGTCAAGTGCATACAAGTAAGTAAACCAAGTTTAAACATAGCTGTAAGTTAGTCAAGCAGTAGAAAGCAGAAAATCAGTTATCACAGACATTATTACAAAAGGGCAAAAAGAGTTGAAAGAGTCAGTTGTCAGATTTCTTAGTTCGTTAAATATCATCATCTTTGTAGATATACTTCAAAACAAATTCACAATTTAAAAACATTCTTAGATTTTGTAGAGATTTTGGATGTATGAAGTACAGCATAAATATTTAATACTTTGTCATGAGTGATGACAGTTTATCAAGATTATGATTCTTCAAGATATAATGTTAGTAAGTAAAAAAAAAAGAAATTATGTTAGAGCATAAATAAACATTCCATAAAAACTGACATTTTTAAAACCTGAACAGAAAATATGTAGATGAGGAGTGGCTGCACCCCATTCAGCTTAATGGAATAAGTCAATAGAAAGACACCTTACCATTACATAATGCAAGGTGGACGGAGCAGAAAGGATTTGGAAGCCACCCAAAAGGCTGTGGACATATGCAAACTGTAATACAGTGTGCAAAAAGATGAAATCTGACAGAACAATTAAAAACAGGAGAGACGTTCATTGTTCTGATGCAGGCAGGGACGTGATGGAAGAGATGGTTGGTTGTCTTAAAAGTGGAGGCTTCGGCCGGACATTATGTTTCTTCATATAGGACAAGAATTGTTCTGGTATTTCTTCTAAAACTTCTTTTGCTAAACGAGCTTGAACAGTCAAAGAATTATCACCTTGATTGTTGAAGGCAAAGTTTCTCATGGGTACAAACTGAAAAAGGCAAAAAGGTTCAATGTAAATATAAACATGTTAATATATGAAGTTAATTTGTTGTCTTTTATTTTAAGAATTCCCCACCTTATTTGAAATTATTGAAGTAAAAATGTCATGAAAAAAGTTTCATAATTTTTATCACTGTATTTCTACTGGATTTAACAAACTGTTAATTTCATTTTTTTTTTATAGATGAAGAAAAAATATTAATGCTGTTAACATACAATGTGTACAAATGTGTGAAAGAGATGTTTAGCATGCTAATCTTGTTGGCTTCTATCTTCAGTAAGTTTATTCTAGTCTTTTATTAATTTATGCTAACCTCAGTAAATATTTACAGCATATCTACAAAAGACTTTGACAAACATTTTTACAAATTAAATATAAAAGTTATATTATTTTGGTGTTTAATAATTAAAAGTAAGAAAATAATTTATTTTGATTTTCAACTTTATTGTAATAGTAAATTTATCCATTTCATTACAGGAAACATTTGGTATCCATTTACTGAACAGATAGTGTTACTGTTAGTTGAAATTTATAACATTTTTTTTTCAAGAAATTAAGTCCACTGTTTGCACTTTCTAGTATTGATTGGAATTTCTTTCCAAACTTTTTGCTTTTGGTAGTGAAAAAAGTAAACACTTTGATCATATCATTTTCTCTTTTAGTTACATGTGGTATTTATTCTTGTTGCTACTGTCAGAAGTGTTCAAGTGATTAGATTTTTATTATTTGTTAAAGCTCTTTGTGCTTTTGTAATGCCAGTCTATAGGATTTGATAGAAGATTGTCTTTTTTTAAAGGTTTATAAGATTTGTTTGAAGCCATTTTTAATCACCGATCTGAGAAAATGGTCACATATAGATGATAGTTTAGGCATTTCTAAACCTGTTGGACACCATGCATGACATCCATATGAAAGTCTTGATCTGACAAGGATATTTAAGAACACAAATGTAGTTTTCAGGTCAACATATGGCTTTGTAGCATATTATGATGCTTGACAAACATACTCCTATTGTAAAGTATCTTGTGTTCAATTTCCTTATTGCTTATACGAATTGTGTTATAACTAATACATACAGCAAAAGTGTTCCGTGCTGTTGCAAAAGTATCCACTTTTTATTACCAATCACAATTTGTTTCAAAAATAATTTTAAAAAAAAATTGTCTTCATTTTATTTAAGAGAAAAATTTTATAAATTTCTACAGACAGTAAAGCTAGCTGCTCAGCCAATGAATGTTGAATGATGTCAACTAATATTACCTTACCATTACCAGTATAAGAAATCAGCTGAATTGTTATTTTCATTTTTGAATAAACTCTATAAAAATCACCTTCACAGGTGAATATCCATTTTACCCGATATTTATCTGTATAGATGAATATCAATTTCACAAAAAAGAAATTCCTCTTCCTTTATTATTTATGTATATGTGAATCTATTTTCTTCTTAAGCCAATAATACTCAAGTGAGTAAAATGTAACATCCATAGAAAGAAATCATTTCCTAAAATGGTCAATGAATTCCTTGATCCCAGATTATTTAATGCCCGTGTTTCAAGTTGCAGTAAAATAAAACCCACAACAGCACTATTTCTTATGGTATAAAAAGATTTTGGAAAAGAATATAGCTACAGCCAATATTTAAATCTGATAAGATTACAAAATGGTAGCATTGTTATAATAGTGTAGTGGGACTCTTGCAGCATTGCAAACTGCCTGCAATCATTAAAAGAGAGTTGTAGAAAATGCAAAAAGCAATTATGCACATTCAATTCAAGGCAAGAATGAAAACAAAAGACTTGGTTCTTGTGAGTTCTGAAAAATCTCTAATATTATTCTCAATAGAAGCAAAGCATCTGTGCCAGTTATCATAAATGGCAGTGAATTTATTACATCCTCACATGAGAAAGCAAGGCCATTTGCATTGAACTTTGTCTCTAACTTTATGTTAGATGATAAGGACCACTCCTTACCTGACTTGACCCTCCTCACAGAGCACAAACTATAAAATTTCTATCACAGTACAGGAAATTTCCAGACTTATCATAAGTCTTGACTCTAAGAAGGCCACCAGTCCTGAAAAATCTCAGTGGTTGTTCTTAATGTCAGCCCAGAGTTATCTCCAATACTGGCAAAACTGTTTAACTGCTGTCTGAAAGATAATGCTTCCCAAGTCTATGGAAGGTGTTTTGCTTGCAGTGTTTTTAAGATTGCATGTGAGCACTCATGCCCGTCACAGTATTAACTCTTTAGTCTACCTAGTGTCATCAAAAAAATCTCTGAATCTATAATCAACAAGAAGGTTGTTGAATACTTCAGCAGAAACCAGAGCTATAACCAGAATGGATTTTGCCTGACTAGATCCACAACTGATGTCTTAACTGTCATTATTCACAGAATCAGTGAGGCACTAGACAATAAATTCATCATGAGGACCATTGCCCTAAATATATCAAAGGCCTTTGACAAGCTGTGGAATCAGAGGCTGCTATAAAAACTCTCCAGCTATGAAATCTCTGGAAGGAATTTTTAAATTATCAAGTCCTTTCTAACAGGTAGGTTCCTAAAGGTTGTTGGCCAGTCGTTGAAAGTCCATAAGGTCAGTGCTGGCATTCCTCAGAGTTCTCTCCTTGCTTCTACCCTATTTCTACTCTACAGTGTGCGATGGATAAATTGTCGTCTAAATTACACAAAAATGAAAATAACAGAGACGTCTCATTTTAAGAGATATATTAACCAAAATTACACAAAAATATCTTGAAATACCAAAGAATAAATTTATTCAACAAAATCCCCATTGGCTTCAACTAACGGTCTCCAGATAATTTCAGAATCTCCTGCAACTCTTCTGGACACTCTCCTTGTTTAATTTGGTGAATTCTGTCATAATCTTTGCCTTCAGTTCATCTTTGGTATTACAAGGAATTTTGTTTGTTTCTTGCTCAACCGTGCTTCACACATAATCAAGGGTGGTTGCAATCTGGGGAGTTAGGTGGCCAAATGTAAGAGGTGATATGGTTGCAGAAATTGTCTGACAGCCATGACTGGGTTCTCTTGCTTGTGTGGCATAGTGCAGTCTTGTTGCTAGACATAGGATCTTCCAGTAGCCACTCTCTTGACCCAGGGCAGCACTACCTCCTCAAGGTATTTGACGTAGGTCTCTATGCTGATTTTGAAGCCCTCACCAACAAATTTGGGAGTTCTTTTCTTATCAGAATGAGTTTTCTGAGCTACTGTTCCTTTGTAATTACTATTAGATTCATCCAACTCTTTTTGAATCCTCTGCACTGTCCTCAGATTGACATCCAAACACTCTGATGCATGCCATTTCCAAATTTTTGATTGAGTGAATTGCATCATGTTGCTCTTTTTCTCAGATGACCTACTAAAACTGTATTGTTGACAAAATCAAAAACAAACAACGCACATGCATGTAATTAAAAATATAAAATGGCAACAATTTACCCATCAAATTCTGTATATTAATGATCTGCCTAGAACATACTCCAATCCTTACTGAATATCAGCAGAATTTTTCTCTTCATCTTACATATCTATAAGTCTACCATTTGTCTATGCTTAGAATATTGCTACCACATATGGTCCCTGTTATCTTGCTTGCGCTCCTTGATAAGATCCAAAGAAAAATGAGTAATATTATTGGTCCTGATCTGGTGGCTTGCCTCCAGGAATTTTCCCACTGCCATAAGGTTGCCTCTCTATGTCTTTTCAATAGATACTTTCATGGTAATTGTTATGGTTTTGCTATGGTACCTAGATTTTTTTAATTTAAGCACAGCACTAAACTAGCGTTGAGATCTCATCAATTTACAGTTAAGCTGAATAGATGTAGGCATATATTCTATGCTAACATTTTCTTCTTTCACACTTCTGTTTCTGTTCCTAATTCTTTCACATCCTGTAACCTCATGTAGGGTTACATGGTGTGGTGTATCACCCCTGGTGGCATTACTGCCTTGCTTGGGGTGGTACTGATTAAAAAAATAAAAATCTACGCTAATGATATTAATCACACTCTTCTGTCACCTGTTTACAAAAATCCCAACAGAAATTTTTAAAATGCACAAAAACCTCCTTTTACAGTCAAAATCCTGGATTTCAGCTTTCTGCTACTGCATGAAGACACATGCAAACCAGTTCATTGTGCAGTGTGTATCAAATAGTTATTCATGGTTTTAAACAAATGTTAATGTGTTACAATAGCTGAAAGAAAAAAAAAAGGATTATTTCACTTTTTGCACTCCTGTTGCTCAGAGATGCAGCATGAAGGGATCAGTTTTATTGGTTTTTGTGAAGTTTTTGATACACACTGTATGATGAAAGAAGATGAGGTGGTTTGCATGTGTCATCAAGGCCTCTCAATTGCAACATCCTTATTGTTAATTTCACTCAATAGCACGATATGACAACACAACTATGAAATTCAAACACAAGTTTTTGGGGATCAGTAACAGGAAAAACTTTCTGTGTAGTAAATACAGAATGATAACAGTTAAATTGGAAATGAAAGAAAAATTTAATAAAAAATTAATATATTTTTATAGTCTTTGATATTTTAATGATGGATTTTCACAACCATCATTAATGCACCTGTACACATCATCACTGTTTCCAGAGATTATTAAATGTTTCATGTCTTACCATAATCAGACACCCACATTCAAGTGACCCAGCAGGAATGATCAAACCCAGGTACAGTTACTCTACCTACAACTCTCTTCTGATTCATCGTCATCTTGAAGCAACTTTTGATGGTTGCTTCTGTGGCCAACCTGATGAGCATTTACTTACTGGTTCTTATGATGCCAAGCATATTGTGCTAATGCAGCTTTTTTGAAGTTTCAAAAAACAAATAAGAATAATTGAAAAACACTCGAGAAAGTAAATTTTCATGCATTACTCCAGGACAAATTCACAATTAATTAATAATAACATTTGTGATTATTTTAAAAAGATGAAAAATAATCCCAGCTCATTCTTGCAGAGGAATAAAATTACCAACAAGATGCATTCCATCTTCAAAATTAACTTTTTTATATTTTTGCCATACAAAATTAAGGGAAACTAAATAAATTCTAACATTTCAAATTACAAAAACTTCACTTTTAGTTTATGCTTCCCATGGTTAATGATGCTAATATTAAAATTAATATTTTAAGCATAGACTTAAATTTAATATTGACTTTTAGTTTTTAATTAAATAAAAAATTGCAATATATATATGTAAAAAAAAAAGAAATAATATCACACACTGAGTGCTGGTGATAATAAAATAGTGCTCGATGTAATATAACAAAGCTATAAATTAGCTAGTTTCAATTCAGCACCTGAAGATTGCATTGTGCATGAAACTCAGAGTTGTACTACAGATGAATAAAGATCTATACATATATAAAAGGCAGAATGTGTGTGTTCATTTATATGTTTGATTGGATCTCCTACATTTTTCAACTGATTTCAACCAAATTTGACATGGTTACTGCTAATGGTGATGCAGAGGTTTTGTTGGCGCCAAAAATTGCTTTAAGTCAATATTTAAATCAATATTATCAATTTTTCATTTTTGATCAGATGCACACATGTGTAATTATGTGCGCTCACTGCACACATGACAGAATTTAAGTGCTTATATGGGAATAAGAAAGGACAAGAATGGACACATTTTGGTTTTGGATGCAAAAGTTATCACAATGAAGGATTTCTATTGCAGCCGAACTTTGCACTCCAAAAGCCAATCGGATTAGTGTTATTACGTTATCACGTCAATGGGTAATGATTGCTGCTGATTGGTCCATTCACGTTCCAAGATTATGCGAGATCATGTGTGAACGGGGGGGGGTGTCACGCTTGCGTGCATCAAGAATCCAGAATGGGGTAGAGGTTTCAGGTAGCCTACTTTTATTTCAGGATTTAACACTCATACCATGGTTTTTAAAAAGGATCTTTTAATGTTTCAATGCAGGCATGCATTACTTTCCATGTTTTCTGCATTTGCACAGTAAACATCAACACTATTTTAAAAGGGATTTACAGAGCTACGTGTCAAATTTTACCAGAAAAATCAGTAAAAACAAGGTAAAACTGCTGCTTTTTAGGCGTTTGTAAGCCATTTAGCCTACTAAAGCATAGGATTGAATTCAGTGAGCAATCACTAACATATTTCATGCCACCACTTTTAAGTGGGCAGAATTGACTCCCCCCAATTGTCCAATTTTTCACATTTGATTGCATTTTTTCATTTGAGAGGACACCAGGGGACTGTTATGTCTTTTCATGCTGTTTACGTGTAGCAAAAGGCACCTACTTGCTATAATTTTACTACTGCGCATTGCTGCCCAAAAAAGTTCTTGCACGTTTTCATCTAAATTCATGCTACTTAAATGCCTTCATCATCTATCAGTAAACAAAATTAACATTGCTTCAAATTTTGTTCGTAAGTGTAAAAACGCTTGTATTTTCAACTTTTGATCAATAAAACTACCTCATATCTCTTGGCTGCTCAAAATTTTCAAAGAAAAATTAAGCTTGAAAATCCCATTTTCTAATTGGCTGACTTTGAGAGACTGTGCTACATCGGTGACAATGTAAATCAAAAAGGCATGTCTATTTTGGGATAAGGAACTACATAGCTTTCATATTTATCAATAAAAAAACCTAATGCAATAAAGTTGCCAGATACTATTTTGAAACATCATCCGCCACTGTGCACTGCTTTGACTAACCCAACTGGAGGTTAACCAATTGTGTCAACTGTTCAAGGTTGCTGGAGCTCATTGGCATGGTTGCAAGCATTTAACCTTGGGCCCATCCAATCATATATGCGAGCAGTTCTCTTATGCACATGTGTGCATGTGCGTACGTATGTCACCTTAGTATGTGTGCTCAAGGTCAACCGGCCAACTGCCTCTTTATACCATAACTTGCACGCGTGTTCACACTTCTGTGATTACTGTCCTGCACTTAGTTCACTTCATTTGCTTCTTACGGAAACCGCAAGTTGCTGATTGCTGATTTTTTTTAATTCTTAGTTATAACTACATCCGTTTCCGCGTTTATTGAATTTACTTCCCAAATTACCTATTACCGTTTTAGTTGAATCTTTTAAACTTCACTTTCTTTGTCTTCAACCCCCTTTTGATACAGTTACATACATTTTTGGGATCCCTCTAACCTGCCTATGTTTAGACTACACATATTTTTTGCACTCAAAAAACCTACATACCTTTTATTATGTTTGCCTTTTTAAAATTGGTTAAAATGCTGCCTAAGAGGAGAAAACTTTTTGGAGGGTGCACAGCTGCTGCCTCCGCTACAAGAGCAAGTGAAACCACAGAGCAATCTTCATTGCACCTTTCTCAGATGGCCTCACGCTCTGCTGCCTGCATATCCACAGAAAGTACTGCTGAACGGACTGAAAGGCTGGCATCAGTAGCATCAGTTATGACATCATGACGCGCTAGACTTTCAACTGAAGAACATTTAGTACAGAATTCACAGGATGCAATATGCGTTTCTAGGGCCAGGGCTTCCGAGTCCCCAACACAATCCTTTGGTGTTTAAGGAATGCCAGTGCTACAGCATGTTTTAGAGCTTTAGGAAGCCCTGAACAAACCACTTTGCATCGTCTTAGGGATGCTAGGGCTACAGCATCTTCCAGGGTTTCGGAACAAATCGCTATTCATCATTAAAGAAATGTCAGCACTACTGTGTCTGCCAGAGCTTCAGAAATCCCTGAGGTATGGTGAGCATGGCTCAACAAAAATGGCCAAATCACATGGACAGATGCTCAGCGTCACGGGTTTGCATTTAGGTGAACAATGTTTCACCCATGGACAGCTTTACGTAAGCCGCTCCCAAGTCAGGAGTAAGGATAACATTTACATTTACTCTCTAACAAAGCTAAAAATATTACCTACATGGAAATCCTATAGCCCATGGTAGGTCACGTTTAAATGCAATGTACATATCTTTATGTCAGCTGCATCATAGGTTCCTTCATTTTTTAACCCGGTTTATTTAAAGGTTGTCGTAGTATCCACTTGCCATTACTAAGATATTTCATTAAAGTCTTGCTCACCAGACGCTCCTTTATCACTTAAACCCCACCATAGCTGCATTCACACTTACATGTCAACCACGTAACCATATTCAGTTGCAACACAAAACCAATATGTGGGAAGGTGGATTCGTTTAATTGTTAGAGTCAAGTGAATCCATACAATTTAGGCCTCAGCAAAAAGAAGTGGGATAATAAAAGAATAGCAACATGCAGAGTTATAATATGCATTCTCTACTGTACACCATTGGTGTATTTCTCCCCTTACCATTTGTACCACTTACAAGTACTCGCCCCGACACCTTCCCATACTTCTGTTATGTGGTTCTGTTTGCGGTAGTGGCTGCGCTGTCTTTTGAGTAAAAGATGCGTCTACCTTTCACGCTATTGCGTTTTACTATGTTGCAACTGACACAGAGCTTCATGTAATGTCTTGCACTCAGGGATAATAAAACCATCTCATCAGAATACAAAGCCATCTGCCACAACTCATCAAAAACTTCCTAAGGCCCATATTCATATTGAACTTGACAACTTTTAATTGGAGGTGTCTTAGTAATGGCAAACGGCTGATGCTACCATGGCTGTCCATTGCTTCCTTTTAAGCCTTACAATTTTTTCTTCTGTTGTGCTGATGAATACCGACAACTTGTGTACATTATGTTTTTTGAATGGGCGGCCATCAGTTCTACTAAACTTCAGCCTTACATGCATGTAGAAAATGCGTATGGCAGTTATGACCTTTCAGAGGAAGTTTACTCCCGGGCAACGCTGGGATTTACTGCTAGTATATATATATATATATATATATATATATATATATATATATATATATATACACACACATATATAGGTACATATGTATGTTCATTACCTGGACAATATCTCTCTCAGCATATCGACCTCTGGATGACACTCTGACATCATCTCCGTCAAGGATTTCCATGGCTAAAAAAAAGAAAAAGAATTCACAAATAATTTCAATGAAAATGGTGTGCCTTTAATTCCACAAGTCAATTTCTAGCATGGATAAAAAATTTAGCCAACGAAATCATTTGCATTACAAGAGAAAACTGTTTATACAAGAAGTTAATTATAAGAAGAAAATCTAAAATTAATAACATTAGAATTTTATATGCAAACAAACGAAAACAAAATAGTAATGAACACATCTTCAAATAAAATTTACATTTCTAAAAAAGACATTTTGATAATGAATACTCGTTCCAGGTTTTAAAATAATTGTTGATTGATTTCTTAAAAAAAAAAAATAAATAAATATTAGCAATACCCATTATCAGTTTTTTATGATTAGCATTAACAAACACATCAAACATGCATTAAGCCAACATCAAAGTAGGAAAAGCTAAAAAAAATCTGAAGCTAAAAATTTCACCTTCATTCTTTTTGTTTAGTAAACAATTTGAAATATTACATTTTCTAAGTTTTATTCAAAATGAAATTAAAAAAATGGCCTTATGTAATATGTTATTTAATACATTGACTTTTACAAGTCCTAAACTAATATCTTTTAACCTCTTAATTTACTAATAAAAAAAAGAGAAAAAAAAAAAGGTGATTTCAGTGGAAAAATGGAATGTTGTATTTTGCAGTAAATCATCCATAAATGGTGGTCAATATTGAAGCTTTAAAATCCTTGACTCAGTAAATGTTTCAAGTCACCCACAGTTCACTTGCAATTGTTATCAACCATGAATTTGATGGCATGGACAGCATGAAAAATTCATATTTGGTAAAATTGAAGGTTTATATAAAGCATGTGAAGGCTCAATTGTTCTTGATGGTTAGGGTTAGTAAGTTCTATTTGATACTCAACTCAGTTCCTTTGTGTTATGATATACCTTGAGACTGAAGCAGGGTTTACTTGCTGTGGAATGAAGGTCAGCAAGTTCAATTTATTTGTGTAGTGAGTTTGAACCACATTAATTGCCTCACATGAGATCAGCTACACAAAAATAAACTTAATAAATATCTAAATTTGATACTGAAGTACAGAAGAACCTGAAAAAGAAACAAGTACTAAATATGTAGTCAATAATGAGATTAAAAAAATTAAATGACACTGGTGATAGCTGAAAGATTTAGGCAGTTTGTCATAAGGCATTGACTTTAATATTGTTCCATCTTTTTGCTATGAACTACATCATCAGTTGTAAATATTTTATGAAGAAATAATCAAGACAACTGTGAAAAAAGAAAAAAGCATTTTAATCAGAATTTATTCAAGTCATCAGCTGTATGTGTTCCTGCTAAAAAGTGCAACAAAATATGGTAGCATCTGTTACAAAATTAGAAAAATTTTATACAAATAATTTCAGCAGTATTATTTTTACTTTTTATTAAATAAAGTATTATCAATTAATTTTTTTAGCTAGTGCTTGCTTTTATGAAAGTATATACTAGTCAAAAATCATCAAATTTTTCATAAACTAAAATTGACAAAGGACATCTTAAAATTACCTCAAGATTTATTAAGCTGGTCAATGAATTGAAATGTATGAGGAAAACTAATAACTTTTCAGCATGCTTCTGTAAAAATGGCAAATGTAATAATTTGAATAAACATAAAAATAATCTGAAGTCAATTTTCATATTTATGAATTGATTTCAGTGAATTTCTCATGTGAAGATAAAGAGAATTCAAAATAGAAACCTAAAATTATTAGATTGGTCAGTTTATTAAATGAAAAAAATATTTTCTTCTATTTTTTGCTTTCATAATTTTTTAATTCTTTCAGTAAAGAACTAATCTAACTGCTTTTTGCAGTCTTCCAGCAAATTGAAAGTTTTTGTATTTTATTAAGAAAATGTTATACAAAGACTGAATAAAAGTTCTGTAGCTGAGCTGTAACAAGTTTTACCTGGTCACCAAAGAATTATGCAATCTGATGAAATATTATGCTCTTACTTTTAACTAATTTTATTGACTGATGCATTGTTGATCTAATTACAAGTAGGGTTTCAGTATGGAAATTTGACAACCACTTTTGAGACATTCACTATACCTTTTGCATTAAATTCAAGTTTTTTGGGGTTTTTAGTTATAGTTTTACTTGTCTTAAGACAAAAACATAAGAAAATTACTGGGGAGGATTTTACAAATATGTGAATCTATATCTGGTGGTTGGTTGGAATGGGAATTAACTTGATAGGCTTGGTGTGAAAAGCCTAGACAGTCAAACTACATAATTTGAATTTTACTAGCATACCAAAAGTATCTGGTTTCTGCTTTTTTCTATTAGGGTGTTTAAAAAACAAAAAGCATTTAATTACAATAAACTGAATTAGCGCATAAAATTGTCTGAGTTTGAACTCTTGACTTAATAAGGTTTTAATGAGCTTATGTTATTAGGATTGGGTAAAATAAGGAGCATCCATCCCTCTCTCCACTAGAGAAATGACAGTTGAACTAAAAGAGATCATACTGTCGAAAAGAATCATAGCCAAAATTCAGTAAAGGGATTTTGTTATTTTTTTAAATACTAATCCACAGTTCTGCCTTGATAATATATGAAGTCAAAAAATATTCAGTATATAACCAGAGGATGATGTCACCCAACACATCCTGTTGCTATACATATATGCAAACTGAACCTGATATCTGAAAGAAATATGTTCCCATAAATACAGGTATCAATAGCCTAAAGACAGCAAGCAGGCAACCACAGAGAGTCAAGATGTAGCTGAGGGGACAGAGAGTGACAGAAAGTCAAGTAATTGACATTACTACCCTTCTTCACCACTCTTTGAAAGATATTACACAAGAGAAGTTGGTTAACTAAAGAAATTTTCTCAGCTTAAAAAGTTTTCATTTGCAGATTGATGAATGAGTAGAAGAGTTGGAAAAAAGCTTTTGAAGATCAACTTTGTCTGTAAGCCCGAGAACAAAGTTCCCTGATTGAACTGTTGAATTGATTACTAGTCTCTAGTCTAGGGCGTTACTGTTTCTTTTTGCATTATGTTGTGAATAATGTTGACATCTACTAATTCACAAACTGGCTGTAATTCAGCACTGCAGAATTAGGAGGGTTAATGTCAGAATCAAATCAAGAAAAATACATACTAAGGTGACAGCTGTTACATTACAATCAAAAATGAACTTTTTTTTAAATATTTAAAACTAAACTCCTAATGCCATATTGCAATAAACACTGAATGAATGTTTTAGAAACCCCAAAACATGAATTGTTTGGCACACTCCTGGCTCAGGTAAATTTACCTGTTTTTTTCTTAAATATATTTAAAATAAATTATTTCAAATATATTTCATCCTGAAATCCTCTTTCAACTACTCTTGCTTTCTTTTCTATTTTTCCTCCAACTTTTTTTTATCTGTGATAATCCATCTTGTCATGATTCTGGGTTGTTCTGAGTCGATCACTTCTGTATAAACTGTGTTTTTGATCCAACTGTATAATCCTTTATGTTTTGCATGAAATACAGCACTATCAGATAAAATGTATCCAGTTACATAGAGCTCTTCTTATTTTACTCAGAAGAATTACTTATAGCTGTATGCATTGTAGTTAGGATATCTTTTATTGTAGAAACCAATTCTAAAGCAGAACTGCTATTCAAAACTGTATGTTTCAGTTACTAGCAAACACCAGTTGGTTTAGACTATAATCAATCACACTGTGTAATGCATTATTTGCATAAATAGCCTATCCAAGTTCAATATCAAATTAACATTGAAGATTAGTCATTGTTTTTTGTCACCACATCTTCAAGAATAGCATATATGATAAAAAAGAACAATTAGTTTTTGATGAACATGTCTATACTGATTAATAAAACATAATAATAAAACAAGCAATCATTATTTTGTAATTTTAGAATCTTTGAGAAATTTAATACTAAAAGAAAGAATCAAAATTTTAAGATGAAGGGCAAAATAAGATGTACTAGTATCAAATGTTTGCAAATTATAATTGGAGAAGGTTGTGACTTACAAAAATGGACACATAAATATATTTAATATATAAAAAGAGTCAAAAGCATAAAAAGAGTTGCTAAGTAAAAGATTTACCTTTTTCTTACCTAAATGTGTGTGTGTATATATATATATATATATATATATATATATATAAATATAGATAACTAGACTCGTTTCGAAAAACCCTCGAATTTTTGATTTGCTAATCAAATCAATCTCGAGGGAAAAAAAGGTTTTAAAAAAAGAAAGAGCTACAAACATGAACTTCTGCCGACAAAAAAAAATCGCACAGATGCAGGTCTGAAGCCCAAAGAAAAAACCCCGATACGAGTAACAACTAACTAACAAAAGAGCTCAATACAAGCGTAGAGTTAACCTAGATACACCTAGTGAGCCAGACAAACCTACCTAGGTTTCACCTAAGCGGATCGTCAGGAAAGTTTGGCTAAAGGCAAAGAGAAAACCTTTTGCCTCGTTAGCCAAACTTTCCCTGACGATCCGCTTAGGTGAAACCTAGGTAGGTTTGTCTGGCTCACTAGGTGTATTCTATATATATATATATATATATATATATATATATATATATATATATATATATATATATATATATATCTTTCCTTCCTATCTATCTATTATTCACACACATTTACACATGCTATATATTTTACCTCCTTAGGTACATTTGACACATTCTTTGTCTAATTAGGAAATGGTTACGAAAGTTGTTTTTTCTCTCTCACTTTTCTATCTACTGTAACACAAGCCCTTTTAAAATGCCCTGCATTTTCCTCTCCAAACAGAGTCTACAATTAGGGTTTGTCATAGGAAGCAGAATTGGAACCTGACACATATTACAACTTGTTTAAAAGTCACTTACTAATAATATATAGTTAATTCAATAAAAGAATAAAGCATTTAAAGTATTAACTGTTGTATTTGGAGACCCACAGGTCTGATTACAAAATAGCATGTGATTTGAAATTATTGGCAT